AGAAACCAGCATCAATGACGACTGAGTTTTCTAAATTTTGTCCACTCCCAAGCAAATTTTAGGACTGGAGCTGGTGGAATTTTCTAAAGAAGGAATTCTTTTCCCTTGGTCAGATTCTGCTCTGAAACTGGTGCTGTTGCCCTGCCCCCATCTCAGTTGTTAGAGAAAGCTGCCCCCAGAATGTGACTTGGAGAGGGAGGGGGAGGAGAGGGAGAACACAAGAGCGAGAGCTCTCTGAAACCTAATTTGGAAGTTGGCACTTGTATTCCTCAGAAAATCTCCCAAGCTACCACTTAAAACAAAATCAGAAAGGCTGCATGTGTTCCAAAGGGGATGTACACACTTTCTCTCATCTGGAGGTAATAAGAATAAATAGCATTTCTATAATGCCTTTTGTTCTTTCCAAATGTGCATTCAGAGCCAGCTTGGAGGGCAATCCCCTTACTCACCAACTGCCATGTATTGCCCTCTAATACCAAACATGGCAATGTCTGTTTTTGTGAGATCACAGGCAGAAAGATAAATGCATAGAGAAATGCTTACAGAGCGATGTGGGGATTCGGAGAGACCTTATGAGAGAAAGAGAGAAGGAGGGGCCTTTTCAGAAAGGAAAGCTAGCTGCCTACAGGACTCCTCCTACTGATTCGTCCCCTGCTTCAGAACCAGTTCCATGGGACTTGCAGTGCGATTCACTTATACCCCTTGCCCTCAAAGGGGTTGTAAACTGTTACACGGAGCTTTTGCAGTGTAGCCACTGAACTGTCCTCCCTCTCCGTTGTCCAGAGGCCTGTTTGTCAAGACTGCTTGCCCACTTTCCATCTTTTCTGCCTCCTGACTGCACCCGTTGTTTTGTTTAATTAATGCTCTTTTAATGATTGCAGAGGCATTGTATCTGTCAACAAATTACTAGGTGTGCATGCTGTGGGTCTCTGGGACACAGCTGTCTTCCTGGATCCAGTTCCCTGGTGGGGATTGAACTGGAGACCTTCTGCTTGCCAGTCCGGTGCTCTGTCACCCAACCGCCAGGCAGCTCTGCCAGTGGTGCCTTTAGGAGGACTGAACAGGGCTGCCTGGCTGGACAGAGCCCCCCTGCTAAGGGCAGGCTGGGCTCCCCACCCAGTCTTAATCCCCTCTGGCACACTGGCTCCAGGTGCCAGGACTGCGCTCAGGGGTGGTTTGACTGCTGCCATGCCCCACTGCATTATTATTAGGCAACAGCACAATTCATATTCTGCAGGAGCTGAGCCTGAGCTGGGCCAGCTGATCAAGTCTTGGTTAGAGCAATCCTGGTCCAACTTGTGCGTGCCCCATCCTGGCTCAAATTATCCCAGTACTTGGAGTAATTAATCAGTAATGCAAATTAAGGAAGAGGTCAGTTATTCACAGACATCGTGAAACTGCATTACATTACACTTTTATCTTGTCTTTTCTCTAAGGAATTCAGAGCAGTGTAATCCACCCATACCTAATGCAAGAGTGATCATGCCCCCCATGTCAAATGCCCTTCCTCTCACTCCCTCACTCCACATGACTTCTGTGGCTCATGAGAAGAAGCCATTTGGGAAGTGATCTCTCCTGGCATGAGGACGCAGTGATGAGAAATGTTTCACTTGCAGAATTTTTGCCTTGGCACACAGCTGATAAAGACAGGGGAGCTCTGCCAGGAAATGATGGGTATAATCCCACTCACTGCAAAATGGTGCAGCCCTACGGTGATGATGAGAGAGGCCGAGAGAAGGCAAGTGATGAACAGTCTTCCACCAAACCCTTTACAGAACTTCTGCTGTGTGTTGTACGATAAGCCTCGTTAATCAACCCAGCTGCCTCGATAAGAAAGCCCACCCTCATGAAGTTGTGTTCAAAAAGGACTTTTCTCACACACCAGGTACAGGTCTGGGATCGAAGGTTTGATGCAAGAATTGTTTTCATCATGGTAACTCATTAACAGAAGAACAAAGATAAATCATCTAACTTGTAAAATGCCCTGAGCCTACCATCCTGTTAACATTTATTTTGGTTTAAGTCCAAGTGAATTTAGTGCTGCTTGCATCAGAAATGCATGCATGAGATCTGGTTTTATCCCTTTGACTCCCTTCTGAGGAAAGTTGGTAAATTAGCAGGCAGGCATTTATAGTAAATAAGGAAACACAGTAGCCTTTATTATGGAGAACATCATGCAGTTAGATGATTTAAGGCAAGTGTTGGTGGAAGATAGAGTGGGATCTTTTGGCAGGTCTCGCAGTGTTTTGCAGTAGATTGACAGCTATTTTTACTATTTTCAGCTGTTTAGTAAGTGCAAATCCAAAACTACTTTCTCCACATAAATTAAGGGGCATAAATGAAGGAATCTTGAGTGAAGGAGGAGTGGACGTCTGTGTAGAACAGGAGTGAATAATGTGCAGCCCACAGGCTGAATGCAGCCTCCATTATCTACCACTGCCCCCCTCCCAGTAATAAAATGCTAACAGAGTTAAAATTAGCTTGGAAGCAAGCTAAATGTAACTTCGGAAATGCTGTACAGTGCAAACAGGCAAGTTCGGGTTTTGGAGGAGCACAGACTGTAGACTGTGGTGAAGTCCCAGATGAAGAAAATGATCCTTGATCCATTTGAAGAAGGATTGTGAGCTTAGCTCAATTCTGGGGTTTGTGGATACAAATTCCTTAGCTCAGTACGTGTTCAGGGGCACCCCTGTACTCAAGCACTTTGCATCTGGGTTTTTTATGGATCTTAGGGTTCTGTTAAATAACAGAGTAGAACCAACACACCTGAAGTCTACCTGCCCCCTGACTTGGAGGGTACCTTTTGCATACTTACTTTATGTTCACTGAGCTGTCATATTTCTATCACAGCTATTTTGAAAAGTAAACTGCTATGAGATGTACTTGCCAAAGCACCTGCCTGGGCCATGGCATTAGACATTTGGTGGGCTTTGCAGCAGTCAAAAGCACAGCTGCTAGGCAGTGCCATCAAATCATGCTAAAGCCGTTTCTGTAGGGCCTGTTGCAGTTCCCGAGGCAGTGTTGTTCTCCCATGTTTCCTAATTCCAGATTCTGGTTATACTTATCTAGGCTAACCCACGATCCTCCAAGAGGGGCATTTTAAAGATATTACCAAGTGGGAAGGGCATGCGGACTGGAATCTTTGTGTCTGAGCCTAGCTGCCCAATATAGCATGGAGTTTCTATTCAGGGCTGTATGTGTGCGTAAAGTGGTGGACTTACGAATAAAGAAATATACTCCCTGGGGTCTTCAGAAGGAATTGGGTCAGTTCCCAGATTCTGTTCGGAGTAAAGCTTCCCGTTCCCAGCGATCATTATGTCCTGCTTATGGCCATGTAGATAAGCTTTCGTAAACACTGGGAGTCAGGCAACCAGGAGAAACACAGATGTAGGAGAGGCAATACGCTGAAGTGCATATAGGAGGGGGTCCCCAAAGAGTCAAGCTCCCACCTTCTGGCCAGTGAAGCTGCAAAATGCCTCGTGCAAAAGGCAGTCCTGCTAAAATCAGGACAGGAATCCCGAGGGACTGAGGACTTCCAAGTTCCTGTGACGCTTCTGTTGTTCCTCCACTACTGTGGCCTGCAAATGATCTGGATTCCCAGGGATGTGGGGCCTCTGCCAGCTCTCCAGTGTCTCTTAAAGCTTTCACAGCTGTTTAAAAATAGCTCCCGTGTACTGGAAAATGTGATGGCCACTTTTTCTTCAGCATGTGGCTCATGGCCGGGGTTGAAATGATGCTATTCTGTTTCCAAATGTTTATCAGCATCCCTTTGATGACTTGGTTTGAATTAAGGTCCTTGAGGCCTGAACCCCAGAGCCTGTCAGCATCAGACCTTAAGCCAGCCTGGATCAAGTGAATCTCTGATGGGTTTGCACTGATAATGGCCAAGCTCAGGAAAATATTTCAGTTTCTAGCACCTGGTTTTTAGGGGGTGTAGGCAATTGGACACCTGGGATTTTTCCAGCTTGGGTATCCCAGTTTGTGAAGTGCCTGCTGGCAATTTTCCCAGATGCTTCTGGGGTGTCAGAGACTGAACTTGGGATCTTCTGCAAGCAAAACATGGTCCCTCCCTTCAGTAACAACTATGCAATGAATCCTGTCACTATTCTGTTTGCTATCCAGATGCTTAATATTGAGCTTGCTGGATGAGTCAATAAAAGAATCTAATCACTTCGTGGCCTATTGTTCAATTTCATATTTAATAATGGAAATAATGTTACTGAATATCTATCATTACATAATTGCAGTGGACAGTGGTTAGTGCACTGAAGCACATCTGTCATGATTATATTTCCAATAAATACCAAGGTTGCTCCACTGAAACAGCGAAGAATGGTCTTTCTGCTATTTTTCAGGATGACATGTGTTCCTGTGGGCATCTGGTCAGAATTATGTTGCACTGAATCCGGTGGGGCTTACTGTCAGGTAAGCAGCTATAGGATTGCAACCTAAACCCCTTTCCTGAATTTCCTTTAAGCACCACTGCAAGGTGTGATATAGGTGCATATTGTTTACCCAGAAGCTAGTTCAGAATAGGAATCTACGTTTGTTTGCCTTTTGCCTCTGGTGACAGTATTTGCAAGGGGTTTTTTGGTCCCCAGAGACAGCAGGGGACAAAATTAGTGTGGGGCCATGCGATGTGATGCCTTTCTTAAGAATACTTTCCACACTCCTAAACGATGATCTGTTCATAGCACTTTTGGGGAAGTATTTCATGCTACTGAACTGTGAAGAATGGGATGGTAGAAGTGTCTCCAGGACAAGCTTTTGCGTGTCCACAATTTTTTGAGGAAAGAGTCTTTTCTCCTTTCCTTTGGACAAAAGTTTTACCCTGGATTTGTGGCTTGCTTGGGGGTGGGGGGGGTGGGGTGCTTTTCTTCCTCTGGCTTTTCTCTCCATCGTGCCCAGTAGTAGATGATAGGAAGGGGGCGTGTTTGCTGTTTGAAAACCACGCTCCTCCTCGCTGCGATACAGAATGGGAGAGAGGGAGGGGAGAGCAGGGAGGGATGCGAGGCAAGGTTGCCTGAGGATCTGTACAATCTGCGGCTGGCTAGCAGGCAGGCGGCAGAGCCGGCGAGGGGGCATGTGACAGGGCTAGGGGCCCGCAGCCCGCCAAAGCCATGCCCGCCGCCCGCGCCCGCCGCCACAAGCCGCCCAGCATGGACGGGGCACTACTCTACTTCTCTCTCCTGTGCCTCGGCCACCACCTCCCGGGGAGCTCAGCCTTCAATCTGGATGTCACCGAGACCATCCTCAAGTATGGAGACAACGGCAGCTTCTTCGGCTTCTCCGTGGCGTTGCACCAGCAGCTCAGACCTCAGCCTGTCAGCTGGTGAGTTCCGTGCCTTGCATGACTGGGTGTATTTCGGTTTTTCTCCATCCAAACGGTGCTGCCCGAAGAGCGTGGGCTACGCCAGTGGCCAGTGCTCATACACGCACCCATGCAGATGAGGCGATAAGGTCTCCCCTGCCTTGTCGCTTAAAGAGAGTGATGGCAAAGCTCATCTTTTACAGCCAGTTTGTCGGTGCTAAGCACTCTTCACACTCTTACGACCTTGGCTGTTAGGATTAAGGCATGTGCAGGTGCGGCTTCTACTTTGGGACTGAACTGTAACAATTGTATGGTCTGTGAGAATTTCCACTGCTGCCGCCTCTGCTGAGTTATTTACAAGGTGCTCTTTCTCTGCCTGATGCTTTGGCTGCAGTAGGGATTTGTGGACGGTATTCATGGCAGTAACAATTTGTTTCCTCTGACCATGCAGTGGGTGTCGATTGTTTCTTAAAATTCCATTCTCACGATGTTTTCAGTGCATTACTTGCAGGATGGAAAGGTGGACACACAGAGGTCCACATTACATTCTTCACTGCCCAACCCCAAATGTTTTTAATATTTCTGTAGAGGGGAAGGGCATTCTTGGTCCTCAGCAGATGTAGCTGGAGTTTGTATTACTGTATTGCTTGCTATTGTCCTAAAAGTCTGTTTACCTTTTCCCCACAGCCTCCTCAAACATGCCTCTAGGATTTTCATAATTAAACCAGCTGGTATATTTTGAAACATTTTCTCCCGTTCTAATTTTTGGCACGTACACTGATGTTTGCCTTCCTTTTCTGCATCCTGGCAGGAATGCAAAAGGTCTAAATCAGACCAGTTTCCCAAGATGAATGCAGACTCATTCAGTGATTGTGCAGCAGCCTGATCACTGCTGACTCCTCATTTTCCCGGGATGAATCCATAACTACTGATTTGCAACAGGACAAGGGATTGATTCCAGCCTTACTTTCCCAGGAAGTAAAGGCAGAGTCACCTGCTGATTATCATATTTTTCTGCAGGGTCAACTCGAGCTCACTGCTTTATTGAGGCTTGTGGCGCTTTGCTGACATTCCTGATTTTGTTCTCCCTTGCTCTGCTGCCTTGTACGTGAAAACCAAATGATCTTGAACAGAGTGAAAGCTAGCCATGGGGCAAACAATCAGGGAAAAAGTCAGTTTGTGGGCACATTAATGTCTCATCATGGTGGTTTTGCAAATGCATTAGGAAAGTCTGGCTAGTAGCATCATGAGGAGCCCGGTAGTCCCCAAAGGCTGGTGTGAGGTTATCAGACTTTCATTGGGAGGAGTCGGAGGAAAGGTGTTTGCTTTCTCTCATGCTTGGCTACTGGGGGATGTTGTGATCAGGAACTGCCTGCCCTCCAACCCTGCCTGAGGGCACCACCCGGCAGGAAGCCTCTAAATTGAGGTATGTGCACTCCTCAGCCCCCTGCTCCTCAACAAGGAACCAGAAACCTGCAGGCCGTGCCAGTCCTGCTGAGCCTCCTTAGTGCAACCTTTCTGCTCCTCTGCCCTCTCTGGCGAACTCTGAAGCTTCTTCTGTTGCTCCATAGGCCTGCCGGTGCCCTAGACCCAGTTGCTGTACTTTCATAGGATTATTGTGATCGCTCCTGTTTTTGATGACCCCTGGACAAGGCATCCTTAGCGTCCCCCATCAGCAAGCCTACTTTTTCCCACCATTGTCACCGGCTGCCATTGCCCGTCATCTTCTTGTTCATCCTCGCTACCGCTTGCTTGCTTCACAGGCGGAGAACCCATGAGTGCCCACTGCTGCTCCTCCTCCTTACCCCCACTATAGTCTGGGCCAGGCGGGTTGTAACGGCGAAAAGGAGAAGCAAGCCCAGGGGATGCTTGCAGTGGGCTGCTGTTTGGGTGTGGGCTCTTGGCAGGGTGTGGGCTCTTGGCATCCCTGATGCCAAGCTTGGTTGTGATTATACAATATCACGAAGAAACTTCCCAGTCAGTCTTGTAGAATTGGCAACAGCTGCAGAAAGGAACTGTGCAGGACAACTGATAGCTCCAGGATGGCCTGTCAGGGCCTGGGCTGGCTAATCCCACAGTCTGACTCCCAGATTCCTGTGTTGGCTCCCACCATTTTTTCTAAAGTTGTTGAAAGCTGCTTGGGCATTGGCTATTTACAAGGTATGGTTTGGGGCTGCAAAGAAAGGAAATGGTTCTTCTGCTAGCCACCATTTCAGGGAAGGGTTCAGTTATGGGGGAACTTGTCCTCTTGGATACTGTGGTTCAAGTACCATCTCTTTCACGTATACATCCAATGGCCTGGAATCCCAGTTTGCCATCTACAGAATGGCAATCACAGTGATTTGCTATAAAGGATGATGAAAGTAACAACTGAAACTGTCTTTTTTTTTACCAAGGTATGGCTAAAATCTTTTTTTAACCATACCTTGATTAATATTTGGTAGAACTGCCATGAGCCAGATGAAATTGCTCCAGAGGATAGATTTGGCCCAGGGGTCACCCATCATTCCTGCCTAAGAAGATCCCTAAGGAATGCACAGGCTGTTTCTAAGAAAGCAATGAGCTCTTTCTTGTTGTCTCTTCCATCAGCTTTTGTTAAAGCCAGTGAGGCAGCCGACGCTGCACCCCTTGTGCACCCATATTTGAACATCACAAGCCATGCCTTAATTGTGCTAGAAGGCAATGGGCGGCCTCCCGTTTTTCACAATATGCTTTACTCATCAGAGTCCTTCCTCACTTCTGTTGAGAATCTAAAGAAGCACACGGTCCTGTTCCCAGTCTATTCTTTTTCTATTTTCATGCCTTAGGGGAGACTGGGCTGTTTCTGTTTGGCTTTGGCTGTCCTTGGGGAAGTTCCAAATTATGGGAGTGTGTTCTCTCTCTCTCTCTCTCTCTCTCTCTCTCTCTCTCTCTCTCTCCCTCTCCCTCTCCCTCTCCCTCTCCCTCTCCCAGTTTAGATATCCTCAAAATGACAGAGGGCCAGGCTGTGCTCCCTTGCTCATTGTGACTTATTCAACTTGTCGAGAACTTCACTATTTACTATTCTGCCATTGTGGCAGATGCATGTGGAACGCAGGTGCAATGAAGCCGTTCCTCTTTCCCTCTGGTTTCCTCTGTGATGCTCATTCTGGCTGAGCAGTGTGGCCAGCCAAGACTCCCTTGAGGTGAGTGAGGATGGGAGTTGATGTATTTGCAACTCTAATCTTCCCAACTCTTCCTAGTCATAGGTGCTCTGAATAACAGAATTGTATCCCTTAGCACCATCTTTTCTTTGTTTCCAGATTTCTTCTCTCCTTTTTGATGTGGTCCTCAAAATGGCTTTAAGAAACCCTATAGTGTTCCCCAATATTTTTTTAAAGTTACAGAAATGCTGAAACATCATGATTAAATCCAAAGAAAATTTCTATAAAAATCAGTTTCATCTCAGCACTTTAATGATCAAAAGCATGGTGAAGGTTTTTTTTTTTTTTTTTTTTTTTTAAGAAGCAGTGAAATAACTCTCTCCTATCTCCTTCAGGAGCTATTCTATAAACTAGCAGCAGGCTGGCCCTGCCCTATTCCTTGTGGCAATTAGCACTTGCAAAAGAGCCTGTTACTGGTTCTCAGGGGCCAGCCCAAAATATTGTGCTGCACAGACAAAGAGGCAAAGTCCTCTACTCCATGTGGAGACAGCAAGCCCGACTAGATGTGGGGCAGGGCAGGCCGTGTGCCCCACTGCTCTCTCCTCTCGCCTTCCCACTGCTTCCTGCACTTGCTCATTCTGCCCAATGGAAGACCAAACATTTCTTGAGTGGTGTGTGTGAGTGTGTGTGTGTGTGTGTGTGTGCGCGTAAGGGGGGCAGGCAGAGGGTCTGTAGCCTTTTCCATCTGAAGAACTTTTGTGTGTTTGCCATTGCCTCTTCACAGTTGTTGACCATGACAATGCCATGACCTTTCAGCTCCATTTCTTTGACTAACCATCACTTTTGTCAAGTTGCTTTAGAGCAGGAAAAATACTGCAATTAATTTTGAAAGTGAAAGAAAACATCATTTTCCCTTGTGTATTTGGAATATTCTGCAATACCCCATTGCTACTTAGGGTTTATGTTGTAGAAAAGCAGGAAATGGGACTCAGGCTTGCAACAAAACCAAAAGTAGATACAACAGATTAATAGCCTTGTGTAGAAAACCTCTATATAGAAGAAAGCAAATGTTATGCTAATCTCCTTGATGTTCTACTTCTGGATCTATTTACTTAATGTCTACATGTATTCAAGAATAATACACCAGGCAGAGTGAACTGTACACTGGTAAAGATACTTCCTCTGCCTATGGTGATCGTAACAGTAAAAGTGGTTGTAAAAATCGCGAGACCCCACCTGGTCCATGTGGGCGAATGGCCGATGGTACACCGAGGAAGGAATGTCACGAGTGACCGCGCAAAGCCTTGTGTGACATCCGGACTTTTGAAAGGAGGGACCCGTCCAGCTCCCCATTACCTACTAAATTGATTTCCAGTCCTCATTCTGATCAACAACATGAGTGCCCAAACAGCAAGAGGACTTAAAGAATTACCTCATTAAAAATGAGCAATACCTGCTCGAAATGTTTATAGCAATACTAGGGAAACCCTAGCCCTCTCAGTGGCACTGGACTACTATTCGCATCATCCCTGGCCACTGGCCTTGCTGACTAGGACTGTGGAGAGTTGGAGTCCAATGATATTTGGAGAATTATGGGTTCCCTAGCTCTGGTTTAAAGCGAGCATCCTATTTGTTGTGACGGTGAGTTTATTTCCTGTGTTATGCCTGCTCAAATATATGGGTGGGCAAATATGGGTGGCTCAGGATCTATTGAAAGTTCTCAGGGAGATTTGCAGTAGATCTGCAAGGGGTTCTAACTCCCTAACCACTGAGCTACAGCAGCCCAATGACATGCCCCATTCTGCTCCAGAAGGTACTGCTAAATCAGAGAACGCTCGGGAAACCAGGAGTGGCCTTCTGTGTGAAAAAACTTTTCCCTCAGCTCAGTTCTGGAACTGA